AACGTTTAAATTCGACCTTCGTTCAATATTAGAAAAGCGAAATAATTTGCAAGATCGAACATCAATCGGGTATCGATTAAACTGAAATTTTTGGGATCACCGTCTCGACCTGCATAATCGGCATCGATTAATACACGTCCGTTCCATCTTCGAAAACAAACGCGAAATAAAATTTAAAAAAAAGAGAGAGTTGAAACAAAATCTGTTTGTTGCACTTCGAGCCGTCGCTGATCCGTGTACGATTTTTTCGAGAAAAAAAAAAAGAAGAAAAACAATAATAAAGTAAAACGTCGATATGCGAAATACAAAGTTCACTTAACCCGACCGTTATTTTTAGATGGAAAGACGGAACCAACCGCACTAACTCGCAGCGTGGACGAACCGCGAAAAATAAAATTTGGAAATCGCACGAAACAATAAATATGAAATACTTTGTATGAAAACACGTTTTAAAACTAGAATTATACGGAATAATTTGAGTGTAATAGAATTTTTGTAAGATTTATGGTTTTTTTGTAATTTATTGCTCAAAGTTGAAGTAATTGAATTTTATGCGTCGAAAAGGTAGTGTAATTTTATCGAATGTCTTGAAAAATACAAACAGTAGGCAAAATATTTAACTGAATAATTTGATTTTTCATGAAATTTTTGGTAATCTTTGGAGTAATGGAGTAATGAACGAAAAACTATTGATAATTGGAGAGTAGTACAATTTTCATGAAACTTATGGTATTTTTGTAATACTTTCAAAGTTGGAGTAATGAAATTGTAAGTAGTGTCATTACATTTTATCGAATTTCTCGATAAATACAAAACGTAGACAAATTATTGATGATGCATTTTAAGCTTAAAACTATATAGAATAATTTGAGCATGATGTGGTTTGTATGAGACTAGTGTTACTCTTGTAATTCACTATCAAATTTTCATCGTTTTAGTGAAAGATGAGGCAACAGCGAAAAAGAAGCGCAAATAGTCAAACACGTCTGATCGAGCCATGTATTGCTCTCGATCAACATAACACTATGCGGGTTATCTAAAGTCAAGGAAGATCAAACGAAAATAGGCAACATACACATACATTTTCAATAACTTCAAACGTTGCCAGAAGCGCACCTGACAGATCAAATGTCACAAAAAAGGAATGACGTTCAAGAACTGATTAAACTATGAGTTAAATTTACAAATGTCAAAAATGACATATATCAAAACAAAATACTTGATTTTCATCAATCAAATGAAAAGAAAAGTGCTTTAAAACAATTGTTCGAATGATCGAAAACGTTTACAGTTTACATTGAACCTTTGTTCAAATGATTTAACCTAAAACATCTTTAAAATTGACAGATCAAATGTCACAAAAAAAGAATGACGTACAAGAACTAATCAAACTATAAGTTAAATTTACAAATGTCAAAAATGACAGATATCAAAACAAACTACTTGACTTTCATCAATCAAATGGAATGAAAAGTGTTTTAAAACAATTGTTCGAATGATCGAAAACGTTTACAGTTTGCATTGAACCTTTCTTCAAATGATTTAACCTAAAACATCTTTAAAATTGACAGTTCAAATGTCACAAAAAAGGAATGACGTTCAAGAACTGATCAAACTATAAGTTAAATTTACAAATGTCAAAAATGACAGATATCAAAACAAAATACTTGACTTTCGTCAATCAAATGAAAATAAAAGTGTTTTAAAACATCTTTAAAATTGACAGTTCAAATGTCACAAAAAAGAATGACGTTCAAGAACTGATCAAACTGCAGGTTAAATTTACAAATGTCAAAAATGACAGATATCAAAACAAAATACTTGACTTTCATCAATCAAATGAAAAGAAAAGTGTTTTAAAACAATTGTTCGAATGATCGAAAACGTTTACAGTTTGCATTGAACCTTCGGTCAAATGATTTAAGCTAAAACATCTTTAAAATTGACAGATCAACTGTCACAAAAAAGAATGACGTTCAAGAACTGATCAAACTGCAGGTTAAATTTGCAATTGTCAAAAATGACAGATATCAAAACAAACTACTTGACTTTCATCAATCAAATGAAAAGAAAAGTGTTTTAAAACAATTGTTGGAATGATCGAAAACGTTTACAGTTTACATTGAACCTTAGTTCAAATGATTTAACTTAAAACATCTTTAAAATTGACAGATCAAATGTCACAAAAAAAGAATGACGTACAAGAACTAATTAAACTATAAGTTAAATTTACAAATGTCAAAAATGACAGATATCAAAACAAAATACTTGACTTTCGTCAAGGTAATCTTTGGAGTAATGGAGTAATGAACGAAAAACTATTGATAATTGGAGAGTAGTACAATTTTCATGAAACTTATGGTATTTTAGTAATACTTTCAAAGTTGGAGTAATAAAATTGTAAGTAGTGTCATTACATTTTATCGAATTTCTCGATAAATACAAAACGTAGACAAATTATTGATGATGCATATTAAGCTTAAAACTATATAGAATAATTTGAGCATGATGTGGTTTGTGCGAGACTTGTGTTACTCTTGTAATTCACTATCAAATGTTCATCGTGTCAGTGAAAGATGAGGCAACAGCGAAAAAGAAACGCAAATAGTCAAACACGTCTGATCGAGCCATGTATTGCTCTCGATCAACATAACACTATGCGGGTTATCTAAAGTCAAGGAAGATCAAACGAAAATAGGCAACATACACATACATTTTCAATAACTTCAAACGTTGCCAGAAGCGCACCTGACCACCCTACAGATATATTTAGCTTTTTTCGTCCATTCATGCGATAACTTAATTAGTTTTAAATCCAAAAAAAAATTTAATTTGAAATTACGAAGATGCGTTTTGTTGTTATTGCGAGGATCGGCTGAAGGTTAATGCAAAAAAAAAAGAAACACACATCAATACTGGTTTTATGCTAATAATATTCGTCCTCCAACTTCCCCCCCCCCAATTAGCGTACAAACGCACACATTAACAAACACACCCTGACGTCTCGATTTTTGTTCTCTTTCGAATACGAGCAAGGAAAATAGAATAAACGTAAAATCCAGTTTCGATCTTTGGACCCGAGGACGAAACTCGTTCTATTCCAAAACGAAAGACATTCTCAGCTCCGTACTCTTCTTGCAACATCTCTTTATATACCGGAGATCTTCGACTGTGGACCCGAACTCGACGTGCGTATAAGTCACACAGGCGAGAATCGCACTTTGCACTTTTAGAAATTCCACGATCCGCGATGTTGTAATCCCCGATAAGCTGATATTTACTTACATCGCTTATTTACCAAATATAAATAGATTTCGCACTCTTTTTTTTTAACAGTCATCGCCTTATCGATTATCATCATTACATTCCCATTTCGGATCGTAGAAAGCTTCGAAAATTGCAGTTTAATTGCTTTCGACCTAATGGAAACGTTCGTTTTCCTAGCTTTAAATCAATACCACACATAATTATTACTAAAACAAACAAACAACAACAACACCTGCTTGCTATAATGCACTCCAAATTGATCGAAAAGTATCGAGTAAAGTTGACATTGAACTATATTTAACGACCACACATAAAACAAATGAAAAAAAAAAGATCACTCGATTAATAAAATTACCAGTACGAAATGGTTGTTAGACATTTGTGACTAAAAACTAACTAACTAATATTCAATTTCAATAAACAACACATTTCAACTACGACTAATTACGTTAATAAGCACATCATTTAATCGTTGTTTACGCAAATCCTCGAGAAAACTATCTATAAAAAAAAACCTCGTCTATCTTTTCCAGAGTTTATCGAGACACTCCGGATTTATTTACAGTAAACGGAACCGATCTCAGCTAATAAGCGACATTTCAATCGTATAAAATTGACCACAAAACTTATCTAAATACTGAATATTCATCATGTGAATAAGCAACATTTTAATTAATTTTCAAACTTTCTCATTGTTTATTTTCGTTTTCAAATGATTGGATTGGACAAAATATTAATCCATTTTAGTATTAATTTAACTAAAAACGTAAGTTTGTGTAAGAATAGAATTCGTTTCGCAATCGCGGCAAAATTGATAACATTTCCATTCACTCGACTTGACACAATTACGACCTGATACGCAACGAATTCAAGTTTATTATTAATAATAAAGTGTTTACAATGTTTCGTCGCAAAAACAATAAAACGTAATTACCGTTGGTTTAAACGATTATTGGATAAGTTAACTCTATTTTTTTTTTACAAATTATATAACATGCAAACTACGCGATAGTTTTTGAAATTGAAATTTGAAATTGATTGATTTATACTAGTAGGTAGATATGTGTCACCCATCCGTTGCTTAACTTTAATGTAATTTAATTTGATTCAATTGGGAAATAGATTGAAGGCTGAGTCCAATAATTATCCGAAATCGAGTGAAAGGTTATCAGAGTAGGTCGGATTAATTGAATTTCCACGTCGCAAACCGGCGTTTATCGATTTGTTTCACGTATTTTTCTGCTGCTTTTCTGTGCCAAGAAAATACGAAAACTTATGTAACGCGCGAATATCTTGGCTTGTCACGACGACTGCAATCGAATCGAGAAGGCAAGGGAAACAGACGACGATCGTTGCACAACCGGAAGGGGATGACGGCAGCCGTCGTATTAATTAATTATTATTGTCGCGGTTACGTGCGAGTCCGATAAAAGGAGTTCGTATGGTAAAAAGGGTCAAGAGATCAAGGGACCAAAAGTCCAAGCGGCGATATGTGAGTGTGTGTGTATGCAATGCGGACGTTAGCATAGAAAAAAATTACGAAATTTCGTTACCAAATCGGGCTTCATTAATTGGATTGATGATTTTGGAATAGTCTGTCTCCTGCCGAGTTGCAGCAGGCCTTGAAGAATCGAATTGATTGGTTTATGTCTTTTGTTTGTTGGTTAAGGTTAAGGGTGGTTCAGATTGAGGTTGAGGTTGGGCATGGGGTTGATTCAAGGGTATGAACTGACCTGGTTCGTATCTTATGTCTGTGTGTGTTCGTGGGTGCGTGCGTACGTCGATCCTGCAAACTCCACCGGCACCGAAACACTGAACCGATCGACTGAGCGTGCGAACGTGCGAGGCCGACTCGAAGCCGCTCGTCGTGGTCTATTCAAAACAGGAAAATAAAATAAAAAAAGATTAAGAAGAAGAAGAAACGAACGACAGGTCAGGAGAATGCAGGAAAGAGGCGGCTGTGAAGACGACAGCAGTTACGTGCTTTGACACCGCCGCCTTCTTCGATTCCCTACGCAAGCGTTTCCAGAATTGCAATAACCAATAACAACGACAACAATAACAACAAAAAATAAAAACATTCTTAAAAGTGTCACCTTGTCAACACAAAATTGATATGGAATTACTATATTCACACTTTACATGACAAACATTTAATTCTATTATTTTTTACAACAAAATCAATAATATTCATTTAAAAAAAATTGAATTTCACCTACAATACTTTTCAAGTTCAATATTAAATGATTTACTTATCATATTATTGAAAAAAATATCTAACAAACGTCGTTAAATTACGTACATATAACTAATACAACTTGAAGGCATTCTTTATATTTAAAAAAAAAGAAACATATTGATTTATATTCAAAGATTTAATATCAAAAATTGTGTTTTTTTTTAAATTTAAACGTAAAGTTATTTTTTTGTATTAAACAATTAAATCAAGTGTGTTAAATAACAATTGAAAATGTTAATGTTTCAATATATTATTATAATAAAAATCAATGGTTGCTATGAAAAACAAGAACAGTTGCATTTAATGTTGGTAAATTCCAGTAGGTGCATTTATATTCGAAAAGCATCAACAAAACCGTTGTTTTGCCGCCAAATGGAAAATCGTATTCGCACGATGGAAGAGGTGAAAGTTGCATTCATTTACGATAAATCGGTGGAAAGGGAGTGCAATAAATTGCCGACGATGTCCGAAAGGGTAAGTATTAAGAAATTTTACGTAAATTCATAAAAAAATGGTTTTTATAGGCATCAATGTTTACTGTAGGTTATGTTGTTGTGTCATTGTTCATATTGTTGCCTATACTAAAAACTACTCGTTGAATCCAAAGCAGATGGCGCTTATTGTTGGAAATTATGTAATTTATATTTTTGAAAATTTAAATACGTATTTAGTTTACTTTTACTATAAACGTTATTATTATATTTATATTAATTTCAGAGTTCACGTGTACAAAATTTGATAGAATCTTTCGGACTTCTCGATAGTACTTCGGTCAGAGTGGTGAAGCCTGTGTCTGCAACGGAAGAGGAGCTGAAGAGCTTCCACGACCCGAGTTACGTAGATTTAATCAAAAGGTTGGATGATGATGATGATGGTAATGAGAAGGACACGGAAGAGGAGCGCGAAAGGGTTGGATTGACCTACGACTGTCCACCCTTGGAGGATCTGCACGACTTCATCGGATCGATCGGAGGAGCCACAATCTCAGCGGCTAAGATCCTCAGCAGAACGCGAATCCCGTATGCGATCAATTGGTTCGGCGGTTGGCACCATGCCCATAGGTACTAACTAAATACAATTAATTTAATATATTAATTAATTTACTGGCAGATCTTCAGCTGAAGGTTTTTGTTACGTGAACGATATAGTTTTGGGGATAATAGAGCTGCTGAAGAAGTTCGAACGAGTTTTATATATAGATTTGGACGTGCATCACGGTAAAAATAGATGAATAACATCAATACACAATAACAAATTGTTGCTATTTAGGAAATGGCGTTGAGGGAGCTTTCGAGAAATGCAAAGACGTCTTAACCTTGTCTTTTCATAAAAAATCACCTGGCTTCTACCCGGGTTCTGGTTCAATTGAGGATGTAGGAAGTGGAGATGCTCGTTACTACACTATGAATGTTCCGTTTAGAGAAGGAATCGGAAATTCGACTTACCGGAAACTCTTCAACGGCGTTTTCAAAAGGTCTAACAGTCTAATAGTTAACTTATTACATGTAAACAAGGTGAACATTTTTGTATACAGGGTTTATGACACATTTCGACCGTCGGTGATGGTGGTACAATGCGGGGCGGATGTTATCAAAGGTGATCCTATTGGTCAATGCAACGTCACGCTGAAGACGATGGGGGATTGTGTGAAGGAGATCATTGGTTGTAAAGTGCCAACCATGTTTTTGGGAGGAGGTACTCAAATGATTTAGTATATATTTAACCTATCAAATTAATTCAACTATTTCTATTAGGTGGGTACAATTTTGCGAATTGTTCCCGATATTGGACATACCTGACTTCCATCATTGCCGGAACAGAACTGGACGAGTGTGAAGATATACCGGATTCAAGTGCGGTAAGAATAACAAAATGTTAAGATTATGTAGGAAAAATGTTCAAGAAATTCGATTTTGTAATGGAAAAAGATATATTAATATTATTGATTATGATGATTGATTACAGTATTTCGTCGAGTTTGAACCAACTTACGAGCTGAAGATTGATGCTAGCAATGCCAAAGACCACAACGACAAAGACTACGTGAAATCTCTAATCGACACCATAGATTTATATTGTCAGAAGATGCAGCAGAAAAATGATACGTAATGTTCTTAAGATGTTATATTAACTATCAATTACCAAAGAAATACTAAGAACATTCGACTGATTAACCTAAGCTGAATTATTCTGATGATATTAAATTCATTGCAGTTTGTTCAATAACTGGATTATTTTGTAGTATTTGTATTAATCATTTTGCAGTTATCCCAGTTTGAAACACGATTTCTCAATGTGTTTATATAACCTATATTTATTGAAGTTTATGTTTGTACAAACAATTTAGTTATATAGGCATTTTCATATTCAATCAAGTGTTATGTTAAATAAAATGTTGGAGGAGACAAACATGACTTAAGTCATATTAAGCCTGGTCTAACATTTCAAATAATATTGACACACATCAACACAGTGTTTACCTACTTAAGTAACAACAACTCTTGGGGGTTGGATCATTTAGAATCATCTTTTAAGCACATACAATAATGCTTAAACAAACGATTTTAAACTCTCCGACTTGAGAGAGAAGTGATGATTATATTTAGATTATGAAATGACCGGGACAGCGCGTACGCAGTCCCGACTACCAAAAATTTCGCGCCCGAGTTATCCACATTAGGGATAATCGCAAGGGTCAGCCCAGCCGTAGTGCAATGGTAGGGCCTCACCCTGGGGGAACCGCCTTGTTGATCACGGTAACCCCTACGCCAGGTAAGTATGCTTTGGTACTGGTAGCCTAAGTTTAAGAACCAGTCTATGATACGACTTACGTACACGGAGCCAGAGTCAGCGGCATCTATCCGCGCTCCAACATAGTTAATACACGTAGCCTCATTAATTTATTTTCATAATTACAAAATAATTATTTAAATCATTTGTTTTTATTGTGTCGTATAATATTTATATTACAACAATCTTGACATTTGTTGCAAACTTTTTACCATTATTTTCTTGATTTCTAATTTTAAATTTGACTTAAAATAGAATTTCTGTAATTTTTTCTACAATTTTTTTTTGTAATTAAAGCTACCGTGAAACAAAAACAAACACATTCCTGAAAATGTTTGTCAAATTTTTCTTGGTTTTTATTAATATTCCTATAAAATTTCTACAAGGCTTTTGTAACTTTGCTTGAAAAATTCTTGTAAATGTTTTATATATAATAATAATATTTTTATGGGATTTCTATGAAAATTCTAAAAGTTTATCCCCTAAAGAATTTCTATAAGATTTTCGAATAATAACATATGAATAAAATATGAATTTTCGTTTAAAACACGCTGATTTAATAATCATAAATGTTTGAACACAGGATTGTTGTGGATTATTGAAAAAGAAAACGCAAGGAAATATATAGAAAAGATGTTTTATTTTCATAATAATTTACAAAATATTACATCAAGACAATTTGTAATCTTCTATCACAGACGTTCCCCTTCCCAAGTTGACGACCCTCTCCGCGACGCAGGTCCTGTTCAACGGCAGATCCCTCTTCTTGCAACTACCAGACTTCCAGCATTTCCCCAACGCTCTGTTGAACTCGAAGAACAGATTGGCGTCACCACCGTTCGGCCCGATCATCACTTCGCAACCGACGCTCAACTTGCTGACATCGCTCATGCAACACCTCAGGAATTCAGGATGCACGGTGAAGTAATCCCCTAAATTGTAATGCTTGATCTTCACCTTCCTCGCCAGAATTCCGGTGATGAATGTATCGTCGATCCAAAAGTACTTCTCGCCCCGAACAGCTCTGACCAAGCTGCGACTCGTCTTCGGATTCGTCACGTAGAACCAACCGCTCAGAAAAGTCGGATAAACTTTATCCCTGTACTCGTCTTCCGTAACGAACCACTTGTTCGCCTTCTCCCTCTTCGGCTCCATATCCTTCAAAATGTATCCAGCCAACAGTTTCTGCGGCAATTTAACATTGCGAAGAACCTTCAGGATTTCGGGAAGATTCACCACGATATCATCGTCCATCTTAACAACGTACTCTGCGTTCGCGCATCTCTCCGACGCCCATTTCAGGCCCATCAGATGCTTGTACGTGAGGTTCCTGTAGGCCTCCCGGAAATTCCCTTGCAGGATGTCGCCGAACCGGTGCGCCTCGTCGAGCACCGCATCCTGCTTAACGAACATATCATCGCTTTTCCGTCCCAGCAGGAACACGAACGTCGCGTTCAGATCGCGCAGCGAATCCTTGGGAAATGCCCTTCTGATGGCGCTGCGCGTCTCCACGTTTCCAAAGTAACTGGTAACCAGAATGACAGCGAAGAGCGGAGTGCCGATCGCGCAATTCTCGCCGCTCACGTCATACCTGAGCCGCAAATCGAACAGTCTGTCGTGATCGAGGTACGATTGCGGCTGCTGGTCGTAATCGACGTTGTCCAGCAGCACGACGTTCCCCAGCTCCTCGGTCTCGCTGTTGTAGTAGAACGTCAGGATGAGGACCACTACGATCATCAGCAGCAGCAGCGTGAAGAGCAACGTCCTGTTGCATTGGTACATTGCTTGAGCCACTCGTTCCACGTACGCATCGCCACTTCTAATTGGAATCGGGCGAGAACCGGTTCAGAATTACCGTTCCCAGCACAGCTCGCCCACTATTCAATTAATTCAAACATTCTGTAGGCAACCAATAAAACTCTTCAAGAGTTATACCATCATTTATGGCTATGGTAGTTACAAAATAACGTAAATCCAATATGTGTGTGTTTAAATAAAATCTAATTCAACGGCATTGAAATCTTTATTGCTCCATTCAAAACTTTCTATAGTGATATTCGCTGTGTGCTGGTAAATGCACGAAACTGAAATTGTCTTCTAATAAAATAAATTAAACATTTTTTTTCTAATTTCGTCCAAATTTAAAAGTTCTTCAATCGCATCGAGTCCAGTTTGGCCCAATCCATCTGCGAGTTCTTGTACGGTCCGTGGAAATTCTTCACGATCCAGAAGGAATCGACTATAGCCCCGGACTTGTTATCGGAGACCTGCTCGATGTACAGATGGGTTTTGTTGAAGGCCTTCAATCTGGTGTAACCGTAATCGCTGTTGCTGAACGCGGACCATTCGGGTTTGTTCGCCACGAAACCGTCCGTGCCCTCCTTGCAGCCGGCTGATCCTGTGACGATGTGAACGGGAGCTCCGGGATTCACGTACGGACGATCGTACGAACCGTTGTACACTTTGTAATCGTAGATGGGCCAGAGCCTCTCGTAAGAATGCTCGTGCGCCCATATGTTGAGATCGACCCCGTAATCGTACAGCAACTTCTCCAGCCCGAAGAAGTGGAGGAACGGTAAACCGACCCTCGTCAGAGTTTCGTGATGGGTGCAATCATCGGAATCCTCGTTGCTGCAGTACATCGGCCTGTGACCCATCACGACGATCCACGGCCGCTTCTCCCTGTTCTCCGGCAGATTCGCCTCCACCAGATCGTTCTCCAACCACAGGTATTGATTGACCAGAGGCTTCAAACCGTAATTCATGAAGTAGTAAACCTCGGTGGATATGCTTATGATATGCAGAGGACCCAAATTGAAGCTGTACATCATGTTATCCGTTCCTTGCGGCATGGAAAAGCGATTTCTGTAATTGCTGAAATTACTAAAAAAAAACAACAATTACGCCTGAATCAAAAATTGAAGATTTCCAAGCACAAACTATTTCTCTTCGTGGTTTCCCGGGCACGTCATGTACGGCAAATATCCGGCGATCGACTCGATTTGCCTCATGAATTGATCCCCGACAGCGGCGTTATCCTAAAATATGCATCCCCAAATAAAACACAGAATCTTAATCACGAATCACGCCATACAGTATTCATGTCATAAGCGAAATCTCCGACGTGCAATATGGCATCATATTGCCCCCTCTGGGTCTCCTCCTGCAACCTGACCAGAGACTGTGCATTCTCATTGCCCATATCCCCGTAGATGGCCAACCTCGGCTGCCAGTCCTCATCATTCTGCACAGTGTTGAACCAGAACATCGGCGACCAACCCAGATTGCTGCCACAGTGGTAAACTGCCAATTGAAAATAACAATAATCCTCTCAACAAACTGCAATAATCAGCAATCGTCTTTACCATATTTGCTCTTGGGATTCAGATTGGGTAAGGTGACCCTGTGTATGTACTGCGTGTGCTTGTTCTTGCCACCATCGACAAACACTGTGGAATTTCCATAGGCTTTGAGCACCATGCCTCCAATGCCATACTCAACTATTGATTCTTTGGTATCATTGAACGTCGACCAGGTGACTACTATGTCTTCTACGGTAGCACCAAAACTCAGATGAATCTGCTCTGGCTGAAAGTAATGCACTTGTGCATTGGCCCCAAGCAGCAATGCTGCGAGAACAGGAATTGCAGCACCAACAAACATATTGTTCACACCAAACTGATTTCTAATGAACAGCTCATTACTTTGTCTCTCTAATCACACAATGCTACTGCACATGACGGAACAGTAGTCAAGGTTACACACTTCTGTTTTGCATCAAATGTTTGTTATGGCAGCATGATTAATGTCAACAAACCAATTAAATGCATACACACCGCATTTGATAAGGAACGTGTATACACTATTGCATACACTTCCTGATACAGATAACACTCATCTCCAAACAAAGTTCAATAGCTGTTACATAATCATAACAGTGATTATTACATATCGCTTCCTTTATTTGCAATATTATCATTTTCACTAAGCGAATAGAGATAGCGCGTAATATTGGTTGCCTATAACCGATCACAAAATCTGGTCTAAGTCTGATGATCATCATCATCGTTTTATTTATTAATAATATATGTGATAAAATCATAATCAATAATTTCAAAAGTGTGCAAGCAACACTGCATTGCAGCTTTCTAATTAAAAACGCAACGCGATAAGAAAATTACCTAAATATTACGAGCTTGAAACTCTCTACTTTTACTTGAATTCTCTCAGAAATATACAATTACATATTTAACAAATCAAACAATCTATCTATTTCTATCTATTCTTCAATATTTTAAAATATTGATAACGTATTTCTATAAGAAACGTATGTGTTCGAGCAGAAAACAACTAGAAATCTTCTGCATTCGAATAAGTTTTTCTACATTTAAATACTATAATTTACATTTACTCATCAATGCGCAAAATTAACATAATCTGCGGATTAGTATGAAATGAGGATTGAAAGAAAAACACTCACTTATTCGTTCTGGAAGCATTTTAACACAGGGAAATCCATGTTTCGCGCATTCCAACTTTGAACCAAACACACCACACGGTGACACTGACAACTTTGTCAGTTGATCATCATTTTTACGACAATTAGTGAATATAAAATATTGACGCAAAATGTTTCAATTTAGTGTAATTAATTCAGATGTTTTCTCGATTTTTTTCAGCCTTTTCGGTTTTTCGAAAACAACCCCTTAAGATAATTATATCATCGACCACTCGTATGAAAGCTGAATGTCTCACCGTTCCAAAGAGACCACTAACATTTTCGTACTACCCCAGAGTCGCCTGTTATGAGCTGTAGAAATTGAAAAAAACAGAGAAACGATGATTTTTTTGTGAATTTCTCGACAACCCCTAAAGATAATTTCATCATCGACCACTCGTATGAAAGCTGAATATCTCACCTTTCCAACGCGCATAAACACATCTTTGTAGTATCATCGAGTCGCCTGTCATAGGCTGAAGAACATTTTTTTCCCGATTTTTATTCAGTTTTTACAGTTTTTCGTAATTTTCTTATCAACCCCTTAAGATATTTACATAATCGACCACTCGTATGAAAGCTGAATATTTCACCTTTCCAACGTGCCTACATACGTCTTAGTGCTGTCATCGAGTCGTTTGCTATGAGCTGTTGAA